TCAGTATAGCATATGTACATGAGTGTTGTGACCCGTATCAGTATAGCATATGTACATGTGTGCTGTGACTCAAATCAGTATAGCATATGTGCATGTGTGATGTGACCCATTTCAGTATAGCATATGTACATGAGTGGTGTGACCAATATCAGTATAGCATATGTACATGAGTAATGTGACCAATATCAGTATAGCATATGTACATGTGTGGTAAGACCCATATCAGTATAGCATATGGACATGTGGGCTGGGACTCATATCAGTATAGCATATGTACATGAGTGGTGTGACCAATATCAGTATAGCATATGTACATGTGTGATGGGACCCATATCAGTATATTATATGTACATGTGTGGTGTGACTCATATCAGAATAGCATATGTACATGTGTGGTGTCACTCACATCAGTATAGCATATGTGCATGTGTGATGTGACCCATTTCAGTATAGCATATGTACATGAGTAATGTGACCAATATCAGTATAGCATATGTACATGTGTGCTGTGACTCATATCAGTATAGCATATGTGCATGTGTGCTGTGACTCATACAAATGTATCAGTTTAGCTGCACAGGGACATGAGAATTTGTTACAGCTTTATTTGGACCTAAACTAAGGTGTTCAAAGTAATTTTACATGTTTTAGGGGTTTAGATCGACATTTGTTTAATTTCCATTGGAAGTAATTCAATTTGGGTTAGCATTATCAGTATTGGATAGCAGTTTGATGGTATGCACATATCAGCCCTGACTGACCCCCAGGGGCTGATGGTTGGGGCCAAAAAGGGTTGAAATGACTGAAATTTTAAAGATCTTCTTGTCAAAGACCCAGATATGGTAGAATCAAACACTCTTCATAGATGGAAGGGTCTTAAGGTTTATGACCCTAGGGTCTCATGTTTACCCCCTGGGGAAGGGGGGGGGGCAAAATTTATTATGGTTTATAATGGCAAATGATACTTTGAATATTACATGTTAATAAAATGATTGGAATTATAACCCTGAGTTGACAGTTTGATACTTTGGAAATTTTGAGCCAGCCCTACCCACAAGGGCTGTAGGGCCCATGAGGCCCAAAGGAGTCAGTGTGCTAAAATTTCTTCATTTTCCTTGTTTAGAATCAGAGGTGCTAGTTTCAAATACTTTTTAGTCTTAAATCTGTATGCTAGATATTGAAAAAGGTGGTTTTATTGTTTTTTGTCACTTTGTATAATATTTCTGTTCGTGTTAAAAACAAAATCAACTCTCTGTATGTATATATCTGGTGACCGTTAAGGCCCATGGGCCTCTTGTTTTAATACCAATGAGGTTGAGGTCAGCGCGTGCTGAAACATGCAGTGTTGGTTGGTTTCCTCCTTTTTTAAGTCACCTTAAATTTCTTAGGTGATCTATTACGATCGCCTTGTGTCCGTCGTCGTGCGTCCGCAAACAATTTACATTTTCAACTTCTTCCCCAAAACCCCAGAACCAATTTCAATGAAACTTTGCAGAAACTTTTCATGGCCATAGTTCAACCAAAATTGTGAATTATATGGTCCCCAGCCTCCCAGGGGCCCGAGGGGCGGGGCCAAAAAGGGTAAAATTGACTGAAATTTCAAAAATCTTCTTCTCAAGATCAAGATATGGTAGAATCAGATACTCTTCATAGATGGAAGGGTCTTAAGGTGCTTTACCAAAATTGTGAATTTCGTGACCCTGGGGTCTCATGTTTCCCCCTGGGAGGGGGTAAACTTTACTTTAGTGTATATAGGGAAATCACATTTTAGACCAACATTGGTTAAATTTCCATTGGAAGTAATTCAATTTAGGTTAGCATTATCGGTATTGAATAACAGTTTGATGGTATGCCCCTATCAGCCCTGAGTGACCCCCAGGGGTTGATGGGTGGGGCCAAAAAGGGTCGAATTGACTGAAATTTCAAAAATCTTCTACTCAAGACCCAGATATGGTAGAATCAAATACTCTTCATATATGGAAGGGTTTTAAGGTGCTCTACCAAAATTGTGAATTGTATGACCCTAGGGTCTCAAGGTAGGGGGTGGGTGGGGCAAAATCTATTATTGTTTATATTGGCAAATGATACTTTGGATATTACATGTTGATAACTTGATTGGAATTATAACCCTGAGTTGACAGTTTGATACTTTGAAAATTTTGAGCCAGCCCTACCCCCCAAAGGTAGTAGTGCGGGGCCCAAAGAGTCAGTGTGCTAAAATTTCTTCATTTTCCTTGTTTAGAATCAGAGGTGCTAGTTTCAAATACGTTTTAGTCTTAAATCTGTATGCTAGATATTGAATAAGGTGGTTTTATTGTTTTTGTCACTTTGAATAATGTGTCTGCCCATGTTTTAAAAACAAAAATCAACTACCTGTATAAATATATCAGAAATCAGGGGATAGTTAAGGCCCTTCGGCCTCTTGTTTCTTATTTTTTCTGGTTGTGAAATATGTGCGATGAGTTTGAAACCCAGAATAAATCTTCGAGTTTCAATCGGAAGTTCAGTCGAAAGTTATTGTTTATCACAAACATAAAAGAAATGTTAGTTCATTTGTACTGTATCATATGGCATTAGTATTCTGTTTCCTTAGCATTTGTACTGTATTGTATGGCATTAGTATTCTGTTTCCTTAGCATTTGTACTGTATTGTATGGCATTAGTATTCTGTTTCCTTAGCATTTGTACTGTATTGTATGGCATTAGTATTCTGTTTCCTTAGCATTTGTACTGTATTGTATGGCATTAGTATTCTGTTTCCTTAGCATTTGTACTGTATTGTATGGCATTAGTATTCTGTTTCCTTAGCATTTGTACTGTATTGTATGGCATTAGTATTCTGTTTCCTTAGCATTTGTACTGTATTGTATGACATTAGTATTCTGTTTCCTTAGCATTTGTATCTGTATTGTATTTGAATTGTAGTTGTAAGTGTACGTTATATTTAAGATATATATGTATGTGCATTGTACTACAATGTATCATCTATGAATTATAGATCAAATACAATTCAAATCATTGTAGTTACATCTTAATATAAAACAAGGTAACGTTACCAGTCTGTCGTGAAGCTTCATCTTGAACCTCCTGAAACAATGCCACTCTTTCTGTTGTTTTTCTTGGATCAGATCCGCGTACTTCTCCTCAGCCTCGTACCCGAAGGAGTGGAAGGTCATTTCTGGGTCAAACAGGGCGGTGGTAGGGGCCTTGGCCGACAGGAGCGCCCCCACGTTGGATGACCATCTGTTACTGAATATCTCCCGGGCCCCAGCTGACTTTTCATACTCGCTCCTGAAGGTGAAAGCGTATCCGGAGTACGTCGTGCCGAAGTCTATGGCAGCCACGATCGGTTTGTCGGTTCCCGAGGAGGAACGGCGTCGAGTCCCGGCTACATCCTCTCCCCCTGGGATAACACCTTCAGAGGTCTCAATTTGTTCCTCAACTCTCTCGTCCGCCATATTTTCTGACATTTAGATAGCACGTTACGGATCGATAGTTTATATTTTCAACACACGTCATGAGGTCTTTCGGTTTGTACAATATCCACACGTCGCAGTAAAGACCCGGAAGATAATAACAGTACCTTTGTCATCAGAGCAAGTTACCTCAACCGATAGTTAAAGAGTATGTGTGTATATACAGTACACACCTTGGTACGTGTAGAGGCGTCTATATATAGTGTCTGCGGATCAACGACAAGCCAAGCTAACATTTAAAACTTAATAGAGATATATCTTATATACTTTTGGATAACTTTTATACACTTCTTACAGAGACGTATAAAATATACGTCTCTACTTAAAGATGTATATACAAAAATGTATATGTTTAAAGTAAATGTAGTAGCATAAGTGCATGTAGTAGTGTTATGATTAGTTAGTATGATGATATAACGTTAGTAGTATATATAGCAGTAATATAATCAAAGAGATACTCCAAGGCAAGCTGTATGGTCCATAAAGCCGTTAAAGACACGTCAACAGCTTGAAAATGTACTGTAAGGTAATGCACGCGGTTAAACACGACGTTTTATAAATCCACTCTCATCTTGATAATATACATGTACTCTTTATAAGTCGTAATGTTAATGTTAGTGACACAATGGAAAGCACACCGTCACCTACTTCCTAACTTACGGAAGTCAATGGATAAGTAACGTCGATTAAAACACGTCGTTATTTAAATAACCTACTCCAAGGTCAGTTGGTATGTTAATAACGTTGATAAACACATTCAGATTAGCCGTAAGGTAAATGACGCCGATTAAAACACGTCGTCAGCTCGATAACCTACTCCAATGTACGCATTTATGTTAATAACGTTGATAAACACATTCAGATTAGCCGTAAGGTAAATGACGCCGATTAAAACACGTCGTTATTTAAATAACCTACTCCAATGTACGCATTTATGTTAATAACGTTGATAAACACATTCAGGTAAGCCGTAAGGTTAATGACGTCGATTAAAACGCGTCGTCAGTTTAACAAATAATGTACTCTTGAGTAAGCTGTTAGGACAATAACGTCAACTTGAAATTGTACTTGATGTAAGCCGAAAAGTACGTCGCTATGTAAGCGTATTCTTTGATGCGAGGTGAACTTACTTTTAAGTTGCGTTCAGTTTTGTGAAGCCTTGTGATTTGTTCAGTATGATGTCATGTTGTCGGTGTGTGTCCCATTAACAGAACATTCATTGATTAAGTTTTTACTTATTTTGTGTGTTCCTTTTCAATGTTTATTTATTTGTTATAAAAAAAAAAAGACAAGAGTTTCTTCGAATTCCCTACCGCTTTCTCCTCTTCAGAGGTTCATCGCGGGAATCTCTGATTTGTGTACGTTTTGGTGGAATAGTACTGTTTTCTTTCCAATATTTAGATAGGTGATGTTATGATAAGAGCTAAATATGCATATTTTAGTATCCATGTATTGCTTATATTCAATGACCCACATACAAGTAAATCTGTACAGCTAGGTAGGACAAGTGAATATATAATGTACAGGTAAAACGATTTATAAGACAATAACAAAATTCTACCGTGCGTTGGTCTGACAAAAGTGGGCAAATTGCAATTGGCAAACAGCCAAGGAAGTTTGTGTATCTACTGTATAGTTTATTTGAGTCTCACCCTCATATACATATATAAGTATTATGTTATTTGCCTTCAAGTTACTGTGAAACAATAAATGAGCATTAAAATTAATTAATTGAATTTGATCTCTTGTTGAGACAAACAACTCAACAAGGAAGTATAGGTTCAAAGAGATATTTATTTAGGGTTTAAATTTTAATTCACATTATCATATAATAAGTTCAGCACGAAAGGTCACAAACATGAGATATAAAGGTTCTTCAAAGTTTCAAACCATGACAAACAATATATAAAAATTCCTAAGAAAAACAAAAAATGGGCCCTGAAATATGTTAGCAGTAATGTGGTTGGAAAATTAAATGAGGGGCAATTGTAATTGGCAAGGTGTTGCCGAGTGAAAAGTATATGTACATTCAAGGGGCCAAATCTGTGATTCCAGATGTAATTTAGTCAGAGTATACTGCTGAGCTAAAAGGGAAATTCCCTCCAGACATTTAGCTAGAATACATATCCATTATAAAATGTAAAAAAAACCTGACTGTTTATTCATGGTTAGATCGAAGACTAATCTTTTCCGTCCAACAGAACAAATGGTTAGATTTTCTTTAAAAATATTTGACCCATGTCACTTTACCCCTTTTTTTGCTGAAAGGGAAGTAACTTCTAAAAGCTGGACATGTTAGCAAGCTACCTGGCTACCGATCATGAAACAAATTTGTTCTAATGAATGACCTTGACCCACTATATGTCGAAACTGTTAAAACCATTAAGTAACTTCTTCTGAAGACCCTAGGGACTAAGGTGGTGACTGACCCAGTATCATGCTGTGATTGAAGGCTATCATATTCAAATCAATAAACTTGGTCCACTTTCAAGGTTGCAGGTATCAAATTTGTGAAAACCTTACAATGACATCTGATAGATGTATGGTTATATTAAGCATGTAGATTCATGGTGTAAAGTTACATGAAGCAGTCTGTATGAACGCTTTAGACTAACCAACTTTGGAGGAATAATCGGTTAAATTAGTTAAAATCTTCCGACATTGATTCATAAGGTATAGAGTAATTATGTCATGCTACTTGGACAACGAAACCATCTGTGAAGGCAACAAATGGGAAACAAATTACATGTGAGTGATACAGATCCTATGATTGGAGACTTGATCACTGTGGCATTGAAAGTAGTTCATTCATGTTTTAATGCAGCTGTTGCATGTCTCCATGCCATATCTCCTCACCTTGTTGAAGAAGTTAATCGAATGCTATTTCAACAATGGAAATGTTTCAAGAAGTGGTGTTACAGTCCTATAGTATGCATTGTTATTGCTGAGTACCAGTACCATAAAGTATTGTAGGTGAAGAAGCAGATCCAAGACCATAATTTTCAAGTCTTTCACATCTCAAGTTAATTTGTTACAGAGCTGGGCACATGCACTTCTGATTGGAGTCAAACCTCGGACACATACCTAATACCTATGCATACCTAACATTCTAACACCTGTCAAATATCCTACACTTACCTAAACTCCTACACCTACCAAATATCGTACACCTACCTAACATCCTACACATACGTAACATCCTATGCCTACCTAACATCCTACACTATCCTAACACCTACCTAAGATTCTATACCTACCTAACATCCTGCACCTACCTAAAATCCTACACCTACCAAATAGCCTACACCTACCTAACATCCTACACCTACCTAATATCCTATGCCTACCTAACATCCTACACTATCCTAATACCTATCCAAGATCCTATACCTACCTTACATCCTATGCCTACCTAACATCCTATACCTACCTAACATCCTACACCTACCTAACATCCTATGCCTACTTAACATCCTACACCTACCTTACATCCTTCACCTACCTAACATCCTACACCTACCTAACACCCTATACCTAACATCCTTCACCTACCTAACACCCTATACCTAACATCCTACGGCTACCTAACATATACCTACCTAACATCCTACACCTACTTAACATCATAGTCCATCTTACGTCCTACGGTCTGTTTACATGTATAATTATATGAAACAACACCTTCAAAATATGCTGGCACTTGAGAACACCCATACCAGGCAAGGAGATAATCTTTCATTTTTATTTTTACTTTTTCTTTAATGATTTAAAAGATTTTATGAAATCATGTGTGTCTAATATAAACAACCAGCTAGAGGAAGAATTACGTGTATATTTGAAGCTTTATGCTGATGACACTTTACTAATTAATATCAGACATGAAAAAGGATTTACAAAAGCTATCAGCAATACTAAAATCATGGTATTTGATAGAAAAAGAATTCTTGATGACCTTATTTTTACATATAACGTACTGTTATAGGAATAGCTAAGGATTTCAAACATCTTGGGGTTTATTTTTATAAAACTGGTTTGACACAATTTGATATTAAACAACTGGATGATAAGGGTGTAAAAGCAATGTATGGTGCCATTTCCAAATGTAGGAATCATAATTTTGTCAATAGATTGTCAACCAGACATATTTGACAAAGCCATCAAACCTATTGTTTTATATGTGAAGTTTGGGGTTCCTTTAACTATAAACTTACATCTAATAGTCAAGAGTTTACAAGTATACATTGGCTAAAGAGTATCATATTTTATAAATGGAAAGGAAATTTGTACTTCCCCGAAAGGAATCAATTATAGAATGTTTATGTACAAACTTTGTTTATAAAAGTCCTTACAAGAAGTACCTCTGAAACTAGCCAAATTTAGAACATGTACTACTAAGTTAGCAATTGAAAGTGGTAGGTGGTCCAATATACCACGTGAAAATAGATTATGTAATACATGTAATTTAAGAGAAATTTGCCACGATTTTCTGTACACAACAACCAATGCTCAATAGTAGACAAAAACATATGTCCACATATTCTTATGAAAGACCAAACATTTAAATTTTATACATTATTCAATTATGTAACACAACATGAATTTATATCATTGGCTAAATTTATTACCGATATTAATGAGTCAATTAATTTACAATACTAATGTCCATCCTGTTCCACCATGTATTATTGCATTTGTCACCCACTTGTATATATGTATTCTCTACACTGTAATATTTGTGAGAATAAAACAATTGTCATTGTCATTACCAAACATTCACTTTATTTGTGCAGTTTTAATGTCTTACACCTATAAATAATTACAACCAAATTACATATGATTACGATTTTGTTTGGTTAATAAGTGTGTTACTATGCTTGCCCAATTGAGAATGATCATGAAACCATATCTGATGTCATCGATGGCATGTGTACATGTACACAACTCTTAATAACCCAATATCACTTCCACAGACATAGTGTCTACATATGTCATATGCCTTTAATTCTTAATCAAGTCATCACTTGAATAGACGAATCTTCAAAAAGGATAATAATATATGCACAACAATCATTTTTAATTGAGTAATTAATCTATTAACTTGGTTAATTTGACCTGTTTATTGAAGATTGTTATAAGTTTTAAATTTTATTGGGAGAAAGGAAATATTTCATAGAGGAACAAAATG